CGTCAGCCGACATTCATTATCAAACCAGGGAGATCTGCCTATGTAAGAGCTTTTCACTAAAGCTTTGGTTGTTAAATGTTTCTTCAACGTATAGCAGATTTGTAAAAGCATTAGAAACTAGCAACCAGTCAGCATTAGGAGATCGAATTGTCTTAACCCAATTAGCCACATTCTCTGCCTTAAGGCTATCTAATATAGCCATAGTATCGACTTTGGCCCATGTTAGTCTTTTGTTTTGACACACCTCATATTGACTAGTGAGCCACCTATCAGTCTTATGAAATAGTCTTAGATCTGAACTACCCATGAAATTCACACTCAGTGGCTGATGGCCACTTTCGCCTCTTAGATGTACTATAATTTCTGAAAATAGGTCAACTTTATTTCACAATTCACAAATGAGATCTAACACACTGCTTGTGTGGGCTGAATGATAAGTGTATGGATATATATAACTATTATCCTTGCCCCCCAAAATTTGAAGATTACATTTAAAAATTATAGAAACTAAATACAGGCCAGCATTATTGCTTTTATTACCTCTTGAGAGCCACTGTGGATTACACTCAAGGAATTCATGTGGAAAACTATTCTTTTGTCCAAAATCATGAAGGGATTATCCTAATTTGGCATTAAAATGGCCAAGTAATATAATTATGGATTGAGAATATAATGATGTTAATTCATCTATTATAATTTCTAAACTTATCCAATAATCAGAATTAAAATAAGGGTGTGTGGGGGGGGGAATATATACATTTACTACTATTACTTCTAAGTCCTTATATCTACATTTCACAGCTAATATGTGGGGAAATCTATCTTCATTATATAATTTCTCTCCCTGCCAGTGGAATTCTTGCTTGATAAGAGTACAAAGGCAGCCAGAGGCTCATCCTTTGTTCTTTAATTTTTGGGCAGGGATATCCCATCTTTGAAATTCCGGGAGTTGTGCAGGTTCATTCTCTCCTGTTAACCAGGTTTCCTGAATAGCTATTATATCAAATTTAGAGAGGAAGCCCGCCAATTCACTGTACACCGTTTCCTTCCATTTAGCTACATTCCAGGACACAATTTGTATAGATCTCATACAGGCAGGATGTTCTAAGTGGGATAGTGAAGTGGGACTTAGAGGTACATTCAGTCAGTTTGTTTCTGAATCTGGTACAATATTATCAGTGCTTCCCAAATAAACATAGTTATTATAAATTTCAACTTTCCTCACCGGAGATTGTATTTGTTGCTCTTCTATACTCAATCCTACCTTCTGATTTTTTTAATTGCTGAGCTTGCATGTGTCTAGCATCAAATTGGGGGTTGGAAACAAAAGGTTGCTTCTTTTCAAGGCCTCCCTTGTTGATTTCCACTTGCAGTAACATAGAGTGACGAGATATAGGGTGACAAGATATAGGTGCTGAATAAAATCTGGAGTCTAGGCCATCCTTGGGTCAGCTGCTAGAGGCAACTCTGCCGGTTGTTCTATCTGATTTTCCGATGCCAAAATATTAAATCTCTGGCTGCAGTTTTACCCTCTAAGTGATTAGTTAAAATTTGTGTTGTAATATCCTGCTGGGTGACCTTTCCTTTTATATGTTTAGGGCTAGTTCGCCTTCTCTTTTTTTTTTGGAGATTTTATTTTTTCAGAGTCTGGGCTTAGTAACAGTTCCATCAAGGAGCAACTTGAGGGGAGTAGGGTATTGAGGGTCTCTGTTGCTTTTGTTACCGATTCCAGCATTGATCTTACTGTATCAATTTTATTTAAGATCAATTGTTGTTCCCCCAGGGGAAGA